ACAGCGTCTTCTTAATTTGCTAAGTGCCATATCCAGCTCTCGAAAGGTGAATGGCGTATCCATCGTGTGAAAAAACTGGGGTGATAGAGGAATCGCCGCTCCTGCTGATCTACCAGATATGTACACGTCTGCGAAATCCTCTGCAAGGGTTTGCAAATCTATCTCTTGTTTCAAAGCGAGTGCTTCGAATGGCCTGTGTGTTCGAATCTTCCCAGAAAGACTATTTATTACTGCCCATATCTTTGTCAAGGGCGTAAACGTTGATAAACTCTCACAGAAAGCTGCCCATTGATTTCGTCTTAATTTTTTTGTATGGCGACGAATCGCAGCGTTTATCCTGTTATATTCGGTTTTCGCAGATGGATTTCCTTTTGCTCTCATTATTTTCCGCTCCGCTCGTCTACGTGCTGCGCAGAGGTTCTTCAATTTCAAGTCAGGAGCAGGAAAATGGTCGGGCAGTTTCAGCAATGAAGTTGCTGATCGCTTGCTTTGCAACATATCTGCGAACAGCTCACCAGTGGATTTGTCCAACACTTCTCTGTAGGTGTCTCAGCGTGTTACATTGCAGAATTGTCGACCAGCAGTTCGAATGTAAAATTTATTCTCCTTGAAGTTATGCACTTCTACATATGCCTCGATCGTGTGCATACGTATTCGTGGTCATTACCTAGTCAAGCTCTATCCACACAGATCAGCTTCAGCGAGCTGAAAAGCTGATATTTTCAAGTTTTAAGTTCATGGGGTTTTTTCCTCATCGCCATACAGCTGATCTGCCTTGGTCACACTCGCAGTCACAGGCTTGTGCACGCTATGGGAGCGGCGACCGGGAGCGCCTTGATAGGAGGTAAAAGAGGAAGACGAAGATCGCGGGTGCGCGCGGGGCATGCGGCAGACGCTGGCAGCGGGCAGTTGCGGCCGTGGCTTAGACGAATAAACAAGGTTCCTGGTTCGGCTCACTATCTTCCGTGTGAGGTTCTGGGCAGAGCAGCCTTGAAACCCCTACATTTAGCGCCCAACGGGAAGAACTCTGTCTCTAGGCCACGGACATTGAGGCAGTCTGCGACCATGCTCCTGATGGCATTGGTGACCATGCCCACCTTTTCCAGCCAAGACGCGAGGGAATTGGTCATCGATTTCATTGACGACCTTTTCATATACTCGACTGTTAGCGGCTTCTCAAAGTCGGACGTGCTCTGGCGGGTTCTCCCAGTTGCCCTGCGCTGTGCCGCAGAACGATGGCGGCGTCTTCAAGCACCCTTTCAGTTTTGGAATCAGTTCGTCGCGGCATTCAGGGAAGAGTTCCTGCCGGTCGCCTACGACTACCGTATCCGGCGTGAGCTCGACGCCCGAACGCAACACCCAGAGGAAGGTCTACCAGATGATGTTCGGGCCACGCAGGAGCTCTTCCGTTAGGTGGACCCTTCTGCTCCTGAGGCCGTTATGGTCTCGCACGTTTTTCGGCAATGCTACCCCCATTTTCAGCTGCACCTGTTGGGCCGCTTCTTTCCTTTTCTCAAAGAGCTTGCACGTTTTGCTTCGCAAATCGCTGAGCCATCCACTCAGGCCGTACCCACTGTCGGAGAGGAGGGAGGTGAGCTCATTGGTGTCGACAGGGTTCATGGGGTGTCGCCGACGTTGGAGCAGACGCTGACGCCATGTGGGACATTGACGCGACGCGAGACGGCCCTGTGGAGCGATTGAGGGCAACGATCATGAATCCGGTCACAAAGTCCGGAAATGACGAAGCAACAGACGTGAAGGAAATGAGGAAGACGAGGAATAAGAGGGAAAAACTGAGATAAACAGAATGCAGGAACACGAAAATAACACCAGATGAATCAGCGTCTTGCGAAGAGGTGGTTCATGCTTGTGATCTTGAGAGGGACAAGGCTTTCCTTGAAGCCAGAGTGGATTGTCCAAAGCAAAACATACTGTGGTATACAACCGGCATCTGGCAGTTGGAATACGAGTTATGAAGCTTGGCTGATGCACGTGATGGTCTTGAGCACGAACATGGCATCTACAAGTCCAAGGCAACCACCATGATTGACTAGAAGGACCACCACATTTCTGAACTGGAGGACAAGGTCCTTACACCGGAGAAAAGGTTGGCTGAGGACTCGGAGGAGCACAGTCGCATGAGCAGGCTGCTTGACGGTTCCCAAAAGCGTCTCAAGGATCAGCAGCAGCAGCAGTGCGCCAATTTAGAAGGGCAGTTGCTAGTGAGGGACACTCAACTAGCAAATCTGAAGGACAATCGTGAAGAAGAGCCAGTGACAGCGTGCACTCCAAGACACAGCTGGACAAGCAATGAATGCATGCAGCTGACCTCCGTGCGCAGCTAGCTCAGGCTCAGCCGGACCGCGACCGAGACGCCAGTCAAGCGTGCACACAAACTTTGGAACTAGCAAAAAAGGAAGCAGAGTGCAAGGAAAACCCGGAGCTGATGAAAGGGCTCGAGGCTGGCCAGAAGACTTTGTCAGCAAAGGTCTCCGAACTTGAGAGGCTGCTCAGTCTTGCGTCACACTCCGAGACAACCATGGAGCACAGTCTGAAGTGAGGCTGAAATAGAGACCGTGCCTGACGACTTTAAAAAGCTGAAGCAGGAGATGGGCTCGGTAAATTTGGAGAATGAGCGACTGATGGAGGAGCTCGAGGCAAGGAAGCAGCATTCGGAAAAACAATGCAAACTCGGAGAAGAGGTGACGCAGCTGGAGGGATCCACGAAGAGGGTGAGCAATACGGTGGAGCAGTTGGAAGAAGCCGTGGACAATGTGAGCAACTGCATCAGCGTGTCTGACCTGGCGTGCAACGTGGCTGACCTCGAGGAACAAAGCTGCGTGGAGAGAGAATGTTAAAGGCAATCGGGTATCTACATCAGCGAGCATGAGGAAGTTAGCACCGGAGGTATATGCAGTCTCTGAGCTTCGGTGGCGACGTCATGACCCCATGGCTACCAAGATCACCAGAGTTAGTTGACTGCCACATGGAGCAGTAGCCGCCACCGATACACGACTGGTCTGGACAGCTACAGCAAAAATGACACACAATGGCTTATGACTCGCCGGGACGGGCGCTGCACTAGGAGGATCGGCATTATGTCATGCTCTTGCCGACAGCCGTAATCGTCAACCTGAGCGAGTCCGGTGTGCCGCCGTTTTCGGGTGGCGTAGAAGTTGGCCCCTCTGCACAGATTGACTCTGCTGGCATGTGGTCCTTGTGTGCCCCGTGCGGGCCGTCGTGGCCAGAGCTAGCAGCAACCGCATCACCTCCCTCTTTCCAGTTTCGCCGAAGGGGAGGGGGCAGTAATAGAGCGGCAACCGCGTGCGTGCCGATCCGAAGTAGAAGAGGAGGACGAGGATCGCGGGTTCGCTCGGGACACGCGGCAGCCGCTGGCAGTGGGCAGTGCCGGCTTAAAGGAATAAACAAGGTTTCGGGTCTGGCTCCGCGTCTTCCCTGTGGGGTTCTTGGCGGAGCAGCCTCGAAACCCCTACGATGCATAAAGTGCAGCGAAGCTGTTTTCACTATGCAAAATTACTTTCACTTGACGTCGACGTTCATATTAACACCAGGACACCACTAGATGCACTTGTTGAGGAACAAGACGAGATGGCGGCGATGAGCCCGTGCCGACGTCACAGATTTTATTTGAGACGCAGGCGTAGGTAGAGTTGCCGCTGCAGCGTCCAGCCAGGTTCCGAAGCTAGGCCGTTCTGTTCTCGTGGCTTGCGCTTTGTGGCTCACGCTACGTGTGCCACGCGGCTCGCTTTTTTTTTTTTTTTTTTTTTTGGCGCGGCCAACTGGCCAAATCTAGCGTGGCACTACATAGGCTCCCATCCTAGCACTTCGTGCGATTTTAAGCATATGTAAAAACAGGAAAAAGCAGAAGAGACAGATACTATGTACATGAACGGCAATCCGTAGATTGTCCGTAAGGAAGTCCAAGTCGTCATCGGGAAAAACGTTGGGTCTCAAACAGTTTCGTTGGGCAACACTGGGAGCCGTGAAGCATGCCAAACAGATGTTGCGGGCAGCAGTGGTGCAACGCTTTGAGACACTTGTGGCAACGGGCATCGACGACACCAGCGATCACTACTGAGAAGACGGCTCAGTGAGGGTGATGCAGAGCTTGATGATGGCTTGTGTGGGTAGGCGTCACACACTTAACAAGCCAACAAATTACAACGTGCACAGCTCAGGCGCGCACTAAAACATTCTATGCAAGCCTGCGGTTCGTCGCAAGTATGTGATAGCGATGACGCTGTGTCTGACTCGTCTGGCGAAATGCTTTTGACAACGCGGTTTCGATTTAGTTTTCATGTGCACGCAATTTTCAAACTTTACTTATCAGTAAAAAGGTGTGCGTTTTTAATTTTTTTTAATTAATTTTTGCTTGCACCTCTTCCAACTATGTCATGCTGTCATTAGCTGCCACTGGCAAGAATCATTCTATCTGCTTTCCTACCCAGAAACACAAGGTCGTGCCGTGGGCATATTCAGGCCCGTTTTTTAGGCAAGGCTGAGTGTCACTGCCTACAATCCTATTCTTCGATTTTACAACGGTCTTGCGTGGTCCCCTGAAAATCGTATAATCGATGCTTCACTGTAGCTACATTTCAAGGATGATATGTACGTACTATTGAGCAACCCCTCCGCAACTGAAGAAAGCACTCAGCCACATTATCTGTTTACAGTTTAACAGTGTGATACATCTTGGGACCGCTGTGCTCACTGAGATGTACTCTCTCTAGGTGGGCATGCTTCTTGGCTCACCTATGAGGTGTTGTGGACTGGGTAAGGTTGTAGCAGCACAGTCCACTGATGGTAGAGGCTGTCTGCCCGGTGTGATGAAACAACTGCATGACAAGGAAACATCTTCTATTACATAGCAACCGGTTTTTTGCAGGACATCCCATTTAGATTGTTCCTTCCACTGCTGAAGAGCATCTGTGCTGTGGAGCTGATCGCCACACTCGTACGTGCCTCTCTTTGTGTGACAGGGGGTAATGCACCTGACTGGCCGTCCCGTTGGCAACTTTGACCCCGAGGGCCTCATCTTTGCGGTGGGGCTCAACTCCGAGCTGGTGAAGCTCTATGACCTGCGCACCTTTGACAAGGGCCCCTTCAACACGTTCAAGCTTCCGCAGGACCGGGACTGTGACTGGACGGGGCTCAAGTTCAGTCCCGACGGCAAGAGCATCCTCATCTCGACCAACGGGGCCCTCATCCACCTCATTGACGCCTTCCAGGGCACACCCCAGCAGACATTCACCGTAAGTGCAGTGGTGGTGCACTCCCCTCCTTGGGGGGTCCACGACAGAAATCTCTTGCTTGCACAATTTTGCGCACTTTGCGAACACTGTATTTTTTGAAGGCTGCATGCATGCAAAAACTCTACACCAGGCAGTGACATGTGTTTCCGAATGAGATTGCAAGCATTAAATTAGGATGTTGGTATCAGTTTGAAAAACTGGAAGTGTTATGTCGCATGAGGCTGACTGTTGGCATCGTCGTGTGCTTATCCTCGAGCTGCTGTTTGTATTCTACGCATATCTTTCTTTGAAAGGTACCTCAAGCATGCATTTGCAACATCATGCCATTGAGGACGATCTAAAGGTCAGTGTAGCAAGCTGATAGCTTCTTTTTGACATGCATAAGCAGATGTTGGTGGTACTAAAGGAAAACTAAACAGCACGACTCGCACTAATGAAAGTTGTCAAACATAAGTGCTTGTATTTCTCGACTATTGTAGGCTCAAGCAGTTGTTCTGTTAAGTTTACCATTGTGTCTTTTTTGCATGACAGGGTGCAAACAAATGTCATCTACAAACTGTTTCTGAAAACTGAGTTCGTTTTTTAGATAGCTTTTAATCCATTCGATGATTGAAGCTTTCTAATCAATTTTGCGGGGGCTACTTGGAGAAGTCCTGCAGGATTAAGTCTATCTGCTTTTTGGTGGTCAAAGATAGTTCGTGTACTAGTTCTGATAATTCTGTAATTGTAGAAAATCCTTACTTTCATATTTCCTGGCGCTTAGAAATAACCCTGTGCGAATAGCCCACCTTTAGTCTAGGTGCATCGGGTTATTGTAGCGTTGTACGGCTGGCATCCACAAACTTGTAGCGTACCCTCCTTCATGCATTTTACCGAAATTGAAACTGGCAGTCTGTGGTCTCCAAAGTTATCCGCCACGCTCTGGTGAAAAAAATCTCGTGAGCTTAGTATTTTTTCTGGATAATTTGCAAATGACGTCAGGTTCCCCTTAGCTCGCACCTGTCGCCACACCCTGTATGTTTACAGAAGCTGTTTGGCCTTGCGACCCCCAAAAAACATGGCACGTTTAGAGTCACCACCACTTCGCATGCACAGGCTAGTCTTTCGAAAAATATCTGTTGTTATCCTATCGTTGAACCGGTGTCACGTGAAATAGTCTAACACAAGTACTTTGCTAAACACTCGTCACCTCTACAGGTTGGAAAAGCAGAATTCCAGGTAATGTTCTCCGAGCTTCAAAAATAGGATAAGACAAGGTACAGTTCTTTGTGTGCTTCAAAAAACGCTTCTACAGTCTCTTGGCTACAAAAGTGAGCTACCAAGCAAGTCCGGGAATCCTTGGCACAATAGCCTAACCTCTTGGTCAGGATGTTACCAATATAATTGTATCATCTTCTGAAAATACATGTTTTGCTCATGTATAAACAGCCTCGTTATTGGCCCGATGACGGTGAAGTCATCGCGATACTTTTCCGACAAACACAAGCATTTAGCTCTGTCTCGCCATATATCGCCCGTTACATTGGCGTCTAAGGTCATTTATTGCAGCCATTTGTTGCATTATTAGTGGCATGAGTTATTGCATTTCGCTAAGAGTATAGAAGACCGATCAAAGATGAGTTCGGATCTACCGAAAACTGGCATTGCGTATGGGGCTAGAAGGAGCTGAGCTAAAGACTTGAGTAGAAGAATGGGAGGCTCGAGCTTGAGACAATAGGACAGCAGAACGCGAACCCGTCAAGGAGAAGATGCTGCGTCTGCAACCTGCTCAGGCTCAAGGCGTTAGAGAGTCAGTGGTGGCTGACGAAGGCTGACAAGTTCGAGCATCGTCTAACGTCAATCCTGACAATTTTATGCCAGGATTCAATGAGAACCAAGATGACTGAGACGCATACCCCAAGAGATTAGAGAATATTGCTACCGGTCAAGATTGGCCAAAAGACAAGTGGGCCACGGCCCGAAGTTTGTGTTTGAGTGGAGAAGCGCTCAAGGTCTTCGGTCATCTGTCTCCAGAAAAGGCACTCGATTACGACAAAACCAAGCTGGCACTCTTGCAAAGGTTTCGGTTCATCGCGAAGGACTACCGTCAAAAATTCCGACACAGCAAACCACAATACAAGATCGTGAAACAAGCGTGCAGTACACCGCGATGCTAACAAGTTTCTTTGACAGATGGGTCTAGATGTCGAAGACAGAAAAAGAGTGTTCAGCTGTTTGGAAACTCCTAGTAGTGGAACAGTTTATGAACAGCTGTCATGGTAAAATGGCACTATTTCTGCGAGAAAAAAACTGCCGTAAGCTGGAAGTGATGGCGTAAGCGGCCGACAACTTTTTGGAAGCTCAGCGACAGACAAACTTACTGGTTTTCCGGGAAAAAGCAGAGAAGACCTCGGCAGGAAAAGGTGCAAACACAACATCAATAGTTCCCACTCTATGTTTTGTGTGTGACAAGTTCGGTCACATAGCTGCAGAATGCCGATCTCGGAAAAGGCAACCATTGTGTGGGTTTTGTCACAAACCCAGGCATGGCAGTCAAGCGTGCGCCAAGAAAACAATATATGGTCGCCGAACCAGAACTGTAAGGAAGTTGAGGAGGTAGATGACGACAAGAGCGAAGATTCTATGTCTAGCGCAGTGAATATGAGACCAAAGATGACTAAGGATCGATGCCAGTGTTGTAAGGCATCATATTTGGAAAGATGGTATCAGTATTGCGAGATACGGGAAGTGACACGATGGTTGTGCGTCGTTCTCTTGTGCCAGACGAAGCATTTACGGGAACCATAGCTACGTTGTTCTTGGCGGACGGAAGCAAAATTGCGGTTCCAGAGGCAAAGGTGGAACTTTTCTCACCCTACTTTTCAGGCATATGCTCCGTAAAATGCATGAAGTCCCCATTGTACGACATCATTGGGGGAAAATGTGCCCGGATCATGTCAGGCTCATGACCCCGATTCAACATGGGAAGAGAGACTAGCTGCAGCGAAGTTGGAGTTGGACAGCACGACCAGTGTGAAGTATAAGAAGAAAGGCCAACATTGGAAGCCCTTTCTGAGTGGCATCAAGAGCACAAGCTTCCAGCCAATTTCAGCAACACTCAAGCTCGACACTTTGAAGATGACGAGAGAGGAGCTGAAAGCTGTGCAAGCAGAAGACAAGTTTATTTTGGAAGGGGATCAACATGGTATTCGTTTACCACAGAAAAGGGGATACTCTACTGCCATTACCGATTATTCTCTGGCAAAACGGTGAAACAGCTGGTCGTTCCCAGTAAACTGCATATTCAAGTGCTTGAGATGGCTCACGAAAGTCTGATGTCAGGACATTAAAGCGTCAAACGAACGACTGATCGTGTGTTGGGATCGTTCTATTGGCCTGGAATACAGGAGGAAATTAAACGCTATGTTGGTTCATGTGATACATGCCAAAAAACATATCCAAAAAGTAAAGTAGGCAAGGCACCACTGGGCGAAATGCCACTGATTGCTACTTCATTTGAGGGAGTAGCAGTAGACATTATCGGTTCTTTGAAACCAGTCTCTAACAGGGGTGACCGATACATTCTAACTATGGTTGACTTTGCCACCTGCTACCCGAACGCAGTGGCTCTGCCCACTATTGATTCGACGACTGCGACCGAGGGTCTGCTGAAAATGTTTTCGATCGCTGGATTTCCCCGTGAAATTCGATGCGATCGACATCCTGCTTCACGTCCGAGTTGTTGAGAGAAGTAAATGACTTGCTGTCCATCAAGCATCTGAATTCGATACCCTACCACCCCATGTGCAACGGGATAGTAGAAAGATTGAATGGTACGCTGAAAAAGAGGCTACGAAAACTATCCCAAGAGGATCCGAAATCATGGGACCGGTTGCTGATACCACTCCTGTTTGCGTACAGAGAGGTACCTTAAACCAGCATGGGCTTCTCGCCCTTTGAACTTATTTATAGAAGATGCAATTGAGGCTCTCTTAGCATATTGAAGATATGGACAGGAGAACACATCAGCGATGAAATGTAAAAGATGCAATTGAGGCCCTCTTAGCATATTGAAGATATGGACAGGAGAACACATCAGCGATGAAATGTAAACAGTATATGGCTACATTTTGGATCTTCGAGATCATCTTGAGAAGGCGTTGCAAGTAGCCCATGAGAACCTGTCACAAGCAAACTCAAAAGAGGTACTACGATCGGGGGAGCAAGAACCGTCAGCTCGAAATTGGAGATCTTGCTCTTATCTTACTTTCTACCACGGAAAACAAGTTAATAATGCAGTGAAAAGGGCCATTTAGAGTCGTTGGGAAAAATTTTAACCACGACTATTTATTGTATCTGGGACATGACAACAGACTGTTCCACATAAACATGTTGAAGCGCTATGAAAACCGGCAGCCGCAAACAACCTCTCAGCATCTTTCGTGGTCATGGAAGAGGAAGAAGGAGACAAACCTCTACCAACTTAAGGTTTCCCAGAGTGTTGGCGTGAAAGCGATATCTACAGCCGAGGGATTGGGGGAAGAGAAACAAACTCAACTTCACAAGATCTTAGCTGCTTATAAAATATTGTATTCGCGGATATCTCCAGAAATAGAAAGGAAAAATACAAAAGGATTCTTTCGATTCTTTTGTTTCTAGACCTATTAGAGGCTCAGAGAATGTAGGAGTTGACTTCATGAGTAGGTTGTAACATAAGCTTTCACGGAAGTGTTTTAATATTTTTTCTCTTGTGTGTGTTCGAACATTTTTTGTGGACTTTTTGCGGAAGTGGGTTCACCATGACAGTGCAGTGTTCTTGCGCTGACTAGTGGTCAATGGGGCTAAAAAATACTTGCAAAGTTACTTTTTTAAGAAAAACTTTTTCTCGAAAGATGGGCATGTGTGATAAGTGGCCGTGTGTGAAGGGCCAAGTGAACAGCGAAGCGCGGGAAACGCGTTTGAACTACGTGCCTCTAAGACCGTCGAGAAAGATGACGTGGGGGATCGGGGCATGAGGTGGT